TTTTTACTGGGGCTGCACACCGGGGAGGAGGTGGAGCAGGTCCAACAGCAAGTACTTCAGGAGAGCAAAGAGCATCACGACCTGATCCAGAGCAACTTTGTGGACTGCTACAAGAATCTCACCATTAAGACCATGGTGATGCTGGAGTGGCTAACTGCACACTGCTCCAGCCCCTCTTATGCTATGAAGATTGATTCAGACATGTTTCTGAATGTACATAATCTTGTCAGTATGCTCTTGAATGCTCAAAAAGCAAACTATATGACTGGGCTTGTGGCAAGAGGCGCTACAGTACTGCGAAATCCAAGCTCTAAGTGGTACCTACCTCATGACATTTATGCTCCGCCACAGTACCCCCGCTATGCTCTGGGCCTGGGCTACATTTTGTCTTTAGACCTCCCAAAAAAGCTCATTGAGGCATCCAGACATGTTAAAGCAGTTTACATTGAGGATGTGTATTTAGGGTTGTTAATGCAGCACCTGGGCATTCCTCCCACTGACCCCCCAAACTGGGGTTACTTCCATGTAATTCCTTTGGCATATAATCGATGTGCCTTCTCCGGGATAGTAGCCACCACAACTGATCCACACACTAACCGTGAGCAGATTTGGAATGACTTTAAAAAACCAGGCCCATACTGCTAACCTTAAACTAGAAAAAATAAAATAAAAATGCAACATGAAACAACAGGGCAGACTTTTCATGACTCTTTAAAAAAATATGTATTTTTATATTCACATATAGGCTATTATGATACTCATGTAAAATCCCCTAATCTCAAATTTTATTGAAACTGAACTAGTATTGTTCCACTGTATATTTAAACTACACAGTCAGCCGTTTTATGTAGTTTATTATTTAAGGAGTGACATTTTTTTATCTGATCTTTATCTTTGTTAATCAAGTTTAAAAACTGTGAAAACATGCAGTCACACCTGTTCTTAAGACTTTACAAAACATGATCCCTGACTGTGTTCTCACGTTACAGTCCTCTCTGTGTTCACAGTTTCTAGGAAATGGAAGGTACACATAAAAGAAACACATATCCTTAAGCATATTGACCTTACAGTGTATTAAATGGATATTTTGCAACAGGTCAGTGTATGATAGAATTTATTTCTCACTGCGATTAAGAAGTGAATGTTGAAGTGAATAATGAAGTGAATTTTCCAAGGTGAATGAATAACATTATAAACAACCTCTACCTTTGACGTCTGTTGCATATGTCCTATCAAACGGTACCCATGCATCAATTATGGGAATATACATAACATAGGGAGTGAAATAAATTTATCCCTGTGGCACTAATTTTTAATTACTTTTTAAACTTTAGTGCAGAAAATTATTTCAGACATGAGATTTCTGTTGATGTGTGTAGAAAAGAGTTTAAGGCTTGAAGGACGTTCTTCTTGCTCTACTCCTTCTGTTCATGTTCTAGGCCTCATCTTTACTTACCATACTGTACATATAGAGGAAATGATGTCTTCCAAAAATTTCCCTTTTTTAACGTCTGTCTGAATGTTTCTTGCACTAAAAGACTGGCTAATATCAACCAGGTCACCACTGACATATCTAGAGTTTTTGTTTTAAAGGTTTTGTTTAATGTTTAATAAATAAACTGTCAGAAACTCCACTTACATTTTTATGAACTTTTGGATATTTAGTGATACGAATAGGATAAAACATTAAAAAAA